GATGCTGTTTTCATATTGTACTTTTTCATATGTTCTATCATAAGTGCGTAAAATCCACACTGGAGGATCTGGAAATTTCTGTCTGTACCAGTAAATTTCCTTTATATCAAGAGCACAGGTTATAATAACATCAGCTCCTAAAGTTACTGCTATATTTGTTAAACTTTTTGTGGCATCAAACCACATGAACAGACCTGTGAGAGAAATAAAACACATTTATTAAAACATCTAAACTAGACCCATTTAATCAAATATGAAGTCATAAACTCACAGATGTGGAGCTGTGTGATCCTCATCGTCTAATCTTGATGAAACACTGAGATCATGCAAATCCCTTATTGTGAACGGAAACACAAGAGTTTCAAATGAAACCTCAAGAGAGCGGTCAACATTAGAGCTCAACTCACTGCACTGAAATAACTTCCGTTCATCAGACATGTTTTTTTTAATGACCTGATTTTAAATTTTTTAGAAATGAAAAATAAATGCAAGTGTCAGTGGAGTCAAAACATTGTAACATGCAGTTAAAGTATTGCACCCTCCAGTGGCTGGAAATTAAATTTCACCAAGAGTCTGACTTGAACACACTATGTGGACAGTTCATCGCACACTCTGGATTAAACGTGTAGTTGACATTTATACTGTCTATGGCTGTACTCACACTAGGTACAGTTGCTTCGAACCGGGCCAAAGCACGATTGTCCCCCCTCCCGTCTCCCCCGACGGCCCGCACTCACACCACAAATGGGCCTGGGCACGCTTACGTCATCGCTGCTGCGCTGTTCAGTGAGAAGCGCTCTCTCACTCAGCAGCACAATGGAGATTTCTCTAGTTATATCGTTTCAGTCGTGTGACATGCAGTCAAATATTTTGCCAAACAGTCCTTAGGGATGCAGTGACACGCAGTCAGATATTTCGCCGAACAGATCCGCCACTTTTGGCAATCATAATCATTAAGCTCGCGTGCTGTAGGAATGAGGTCTGCTGAAGCCGCGCAGCTGTCGTGCTGTGAGGAGTTCTCGTCTTTAATAAACTACGGCAGTTTGTGTTCACTGAACAGTAAGAATAATTAATAAATACATATGAAACAATCCCTTAAAAGTCACGTCTCGCTTTCAGTTACGGGCTTTGGCGCGTTTTGCACTCACACACAAGCGTACCGTGCCAAAGCCCAAGTGAACCACGCTCAGGCACACCTTTTCCAACCGGGCTAGGGCCGGCCAAGTGAACCGTGCTTGAGCCCAATTCAGCGCACTCACATTTCTTAAACGATCCGGGAAACGGGCCTGGGCACGGTACAAATGGCATAGTGTTAGTAGGCCCTATATTGAGTGTTGTCTGAAAATGATATAAAGATTATTTTGCTGCAATTAAGCTACACACAATAAAACATAATATTTTAGAAATAAAATACATTTTTTTTATTTTTTATTAAATTGTCATTGTTTAAAGAAATATTTAATACTAGAAATTTTCTAATTTGACAGTGTGAATACATTTTGTAGGTCAATAGATTGATGATGACTGACAGGGAAATAAACAAACCAGGCTCATTATTGATACATGCCCCTGCATACATTTCTGGACAGCATGAAATACATCCCAGGAGGAAAGTTTTTTTTTAAGTTTTTGTTTTTGCGAATCCACCAGAGGTCGCAATATAGGCTTTCTCATATCTCAAAATTTCTTGCGAGTACCATTCGCAACTGCTGTTCTCCAAAGGTCTCTGACTGACTGATTGATCGACCGATCATTAGATTAGGCTTCATTAGATTAGGTTACATTCAACTTTATTGTCATTTTACATGTACAAGTACAAGGCAATGAAATGCAGTAGCTACATGTTGGGCTGTGTGTGTACCTGTGATGTTTCTGTTCAAAGTCTACCTACTGGCCTGGCATGCAGAATACAGCATCTATAGACATTTCTGTAGCTCTGCATAATAGGAATGCTCCACCTACCCAACCTGGGGTGCGTTTCCCAAAATCGTTAGCCAACCAAGGTCGCAAGTTACTTAATTACAAACATAGTTTGTTGATTTGCTGTTTCCCAAATCCGTCGCTCCAATGAACATTCGCAAACTGCATCGCAAACTTGAGGACTCGCAACAACAGCTCTGGAGCTGTAGTTAGAAACATAGTTCCTGGCTGTGCTCTATTCCCACTTAGTACCCCATCTGCTTAGTATGTGTTGATACTGCTCCTTCAACAGACATTTAACTGGCTATAAGAAACTTTGTAAATACATGTCAACCTACACCAGGCCCGGATTGGGGACTGGGAGAATTCCCGGTGGGCCGTTCTGTTTTTTGGCCGCGAGGGCCGGTGTCCCCTAGCTCCAGAATCTGTTGCTCTCAGCAGTCACACTTTTTAAATTTTTTTATTTATTTACTTGACCACAGCCTTTTTATTCATTATTTTACCGCAGCTCTGCTCTTTTTATCTATATTTTCTCACAGCCTGCAGGTTAATGATGATATAACTCAGATGAGTAACTATTCAATGAATTGCTGTTGTGGTCAAGTGGGTAGCACACTAGATTATGACGTTGCTGAACCGGGTTCCATCCTTGTCTGAGTAATTATTTTCTTTTTCATATTTATTGTTAAGACATATTATACTGTTAGGGTTGTTGAACATTTGAAGTTCTAAAGCAGCTGTTTTCACAAAAAAAAAAAAAAAAAAAAGACGTGACGGTGTCATTAGAAACTGATTTGGAAATTACCTTATTTTAATATAGTCAGTAGTGAACTGAGGTGGGCCGGTCTGAGGCTTGAAACTCCAGGGATGAAAAGGAGTTCCTGACCTACACTAACCCCTACCCTAAACCTAACAGTCTACTTATAATCTAATGAGAATTAGTTGGCATGTAGATGCAATGTAACTTATATTCAACAAACGACCCATCAAAATAAAGTGTGAAGAAGGTCTTTTGTAGAGAAACAACTCTTAGTCAGTGTTAATCGTATTAATCAACACACAGTATTCATTATTGTACGAATTAATATGGGTTTCCAATTATTCCACTTAATATTTTACTGCCAATCAAAAGTAAGACCTTTAACGTTTTTAAAAAGTCACTTCTGCTCACCAAGCCTGCGTTAATTTAATTTAAAATCAGTATTTTTTATTTAAATTAAAATAATCGTATATTTGGATGAATTTTAAAATGTAATTTATACCTGTGATATCAAAAGCTGAAGTTTAAAAATCATCACTCCAGTCACATGATCCTTCAGAAATCGTTTGAATGTACGGGTTTGCTATTCTAAAACATTAATGATAATAATGATGAATTATTATTATTATTATTATTATTATTATTATTAATATTCTTCTAATTGTTGTTATCATCAATATTTATTAACAATTGTTAGTATTATTTCTTAGGATACTTTACTGAACCAAAAGATCCAGGGCTCAACATGTATCTGTAATTAAAAGTTTGGTAACACTTTACAATAAGGTTCATTAGTTAATGCATTTACTAACATGAACCAATCATGAAGAACACATGTACAGCATTTATTAATCATAATTGAACATTTACTAATGCATTATTAAAGGGTCACGAAACACCAAAACACATTTTTTGAGCTGTTGACAGTCGTATATGTGTCCCACACTGCTAAAAACACTATTAAGACACCTATATTTCACTAAAAAGTGTAAATTGGTTGTTTTTGCGTTATTTCAAGCAAATTCGTACTTCCTGTTTGAAACGAATTTTTGAAGCTGCGTCACGGTCATGACATAATAGCGTGTATTCCAGCGTGCAGACTGGACGTCTGTGCCAGAGTGTGCCTTATTACGTCTTACAGTGTGATGCATTAATGCATGAGTTAGGCTTGGTTCAAACCAATCAGCGCGCTCTATTGTGCAACTTCATTAATATTCATTAGTGTCACCGTCTTTACACCACAGAGACGCCACGTTGTGTTGGCAAAACAAGCGTGAAGTGTTGCTTTTACAGTTTGCTGCCATTAAGTTTCGTTTTCATTTTCTCTCTGTGAGAGCTTATCTGGATCACGTGTGGATTACAGTGTACGCGACGCTCGACAACAATAATTTACGTGTCTAAGGGGGATTATTGTTTACCTGAGAGCTGTTCTCATCTGCAAACGCTGAAATCCGGATTCCGGATGTAGTCTTCTCTTCATAAAGACGCGGCTCTAGTTGCTGGTGATTGTCCTGTCTCTACAGATTTGGTAAGTGAGCGACCAGTGCTCTTTGTATATTCAGTTTGTTCGTATCAAATAAGTTAACTATTGCATTGAGTGCAAACATGTTAGCACCGCATTTTGTGACCGGAATAACACACGCGGCTTTCGGACGCTACCTGCCGTGTGCATCTAAGTTTCCGGGAAATGCGGAGTTTTTTTTCTGTCATTCGCCGTGCGGTATCAAACATTGCATGAAAAATACACGCTTAGAGCAGTATCTCGAATCAAATATCTCATTTGTCGCGAGGGGCATGAATGAATTCCCTGAATGAAAGAGCCGAACTGCAGTTAAAGTCCGACATTTAATAATTTGGCTAATAATTCGACTACAGATGTCCATGTAGGTTAAACACCATCCCTTTCTCCTGTGTATTTTGACTGAAACTCGCGCGTGCCCAAATAGACACTCCCACACCCTCCCACTTTAGTTTCTCCGACACTCCCCCCTAAACAGAGCTGGACACCCCCACTTTTCTGACTTTTTCCAAAGAAGAGGTGTGAAAACACCCTGCTGAAACGAGGGGGTTTCATGGCCCTTTAACATCCAAGTCCATGCTTGATAACATTAGTTAATGCACCATGAGTTAACATGAACTAACAATGGACTACTGATTTATATAAATGTGTGAACTATATTTGAGAGAAATAGGCTTTTTGCGTACATAGAAAAAAATCTTTGAATTGACCTCTTGAAAATGGGAGCAAAAATGAAAGTGTTGTGTTTATATTTAACTGTGTATTTGTGCTCCTATTAATGTTCCTTATTCTTGTTCGTAGATGCGTGTAATATCACTCTTGATCCAAATACTGCACATGAAATGCTCTCAGTTGCAGAGGACAACAAAACATTGGTGCGTAACTCAGAGCCGATGATTTATCCTGATCAACCAGACAGATTCACTGGCCTCCCACAGATTCTGTGTAAAGAGCGTCTGTCTGGACGCTGCTACTGAGAGGCCGAGTGGAAAGGACTGGGTGACATGGTGGTGTCTTATGGAGGAATCGGCAGGAAAGGAGAAAGTCTTGATTGTCGATTCGGAGCCAATGACAAGTCCTGGATTCTGAGCTGCTTTATTGGAGAGAAACTGATTGCCTGGCATGATAACAGGGGGGTTTATATTCCTCTCCCAACAACTCCCTATAACAGAATTGGAGTGTTTCTGGATGAGCCGGCCGGCATTTTGTCCGTCTTCAGTGTCCCTGATGAAAACACACTTAATCACTTGTACATGTCAAAACCAAATTTACTGAACCCCTCTATGCTGGATTTGTGCTTTATACAGAGTCAGTAGCCCCTTTCACACATACAGACCTTTCCGGAAAATTGCCGGCAATTTTCTGGAAAGGTTGTATGTGTGAACAGGTCCTTTTTGAAAATACCGGTAAATTCATTCTGGCTATTTTCTGGAAAGAGAAGTTGTAACATTACCGGCAATTTGCCGGAATGCTGCGCTGTGTGAATGCAGAAGGAAGATTCCCGTAATAAGCGCGTGCACGTCTAGAACGTGCTGACGTGAGACGTCTGCTTTAGCCAATCACAACAGTCAGACGCATTTACGTCCGCGCGGTTTGTGAGGATAAAAGCCTTTGAATATTTTTCCAGACACATTTAGCTGCTAGAAGTTAGTCAGATCACGTTTATATGTTCTTCTTGATGCCAACTGTGTAAATAAACATTGATGAGATGCTCATGATAAGCCGTTAATTGTTTACCTTCAAGCTTTGCGTGCGCCTATGAGCGCCTGCACACGCACATATTATGAACATCTCGACATGCGAAAGTGATCCTGTGAAAGTTGTTCACAATATTGATCATCCACAGAGTTTGTAATTTAGTCAAATGTTTACAAATACAAGCGTAGCCGTTTAAAGCTCATTTGTGGTGAATGATGTCAGAATTTACCGGTATTTTGGAATGGATGTGTGAATGCTCTTTTCCGGAAAATTTCCGTAACGTCCTCGCCTGTGTGAACAGCGCTTTTTTGAATATACCGGTAAAGTCGTTCCGGAAATTTTCCAGAAATTTACCGGTATCACTGTGTGAAAGGGGCTAGTCATCATAACCTGCTAAAATTTAAATCTCATTTAAGTTGAGGCATAGAAAAAGATGTGCAGTGCTGGTCATAAATCACAATTTATCAGTGTTTTCAAACAAACAACATTTATTTTAGGTTTCAGACATTCAAATACACATGACTACTAGCAAATACACGCTGGTGACTATAGAGGTGACAATAATCATTATTTTTAAATAACTGCATGATGTGCTTTATTCACATTAGAGACACACTGTTTATATTACTCCAACATTTACTCTATTTCTCACCCAGTTAAACAGACACTTTTATATGTTTTGGAGGAAAATGATGAATAAACGTGTTGTAAATCCAGCAGCTCTAATCTCTCCTGCAGCATAGTCTAAACCAGGAGTGTCCAAAATTGATCCTGGAGGGCCGATGTCCTGCAGATTTTAGCGCCAACTTGCCTCAACTCACCTGCAAGGATGTTTCTAGAAAGCTGTGGTCACACTGCACTTTTCTCCACATATACTTCCATTCAAATGCATGCAAATCTATCAGACCGGAAACCCAAGTTGGTGCGTCAAGTTTTGCAGTTCTCTGCGTTGAAAAGTTTAAGCTTGGTGTGGTGAGCTCTGACCTTTTTTAATGTCTAATCATCTTGTTTAATCTCACCCCTTTTCGCAGCGCTGTACTACAGAATTTCGGAAGCTTAAACTGTGTGACCACAGCTTTACAGCTTGATTAGCTAGCACAGGTGTGTTCGATTGGGGCTGGGGCTAAACTTGGCAGGACACCAGCTTTCCAGAACCGAGTTTGGGCACCCCTGATTTAAACACTCATAATCCTTCATATATCAAATAATATGATAATATATATGGTAATTAGAATATCAGATAATTCACAATATAGTTTGCATGTTTGTCAGTGCTTACAGTAAAGGGAAGCAAAACACCATATAGACGTAACCCATTGGGGCTGTGGTGTGTCACCTGATAAGCTTAAATAACTTTCTAAATAACAGTCACAATAAAAAAAAGCTCACCCAGGAAGGGCAGCGGGAGTATTTAGAACTTGTGAAAGGGCTAAACAACAGAGTGAATAATTTCTGTACACTACAAAATATAGAGTGACTCTCAAAAGTATTTGGACAGTTGAGATTAGAGATGGGATGGTATCTGTAACCTTGCAGGACTTGAAATGCAACACGACTTGATTGTATCGTTTTTTTTTAGATGGTTTTGCAATAAATACTCATGACTTTTTTTTGCGTGCTGCTTATTTAAGTGGTTAGGTGTAGTGCAAGTGATCCAAAATATTTCTGAAAGTATGCATTTTAATAAAATGATTTATATTTTACAAATGCACTTAAACCATGTGATGGTAAAGTAAAGAAGTATGGCCTCAAACATGCATTTGAGTAAACAGAATCTATTACTGCTACCTATAGTTTTATGCTGGTAACTAGAACTTGCACCATATTGACACATTAATACTAAAGAACTTACATTTCTAATTTTATTGTAAATATGTTTTTGCCCATTCTCAGCAATCCAGAAGTCAAGCAATATCACTCTGCAATATTGACCAACAACACCACTCAAAAAGTGGCCCTTTGTTTCATCATCTTGCCACAAACTCACAGCTTTCAGCAAGTAGTTTTGCATCTGTTAATCAAGAACAAGCTGCCATTTATGTTAAAAATATAATGACTATCTAAGCCTATAGCTCTACAAGTAAAAAATGTCTTCATTTTGTCCAAAACTGTTTTGCTTTGATAAAGTATAGTTAAAATAATCAACTACAAGCTAGATTTTAGCATTTGGCATTGTGACAGTCTCTCTTTTTTGTTTCTGTGTTTACACACAAATAAATACTATAGTAATTTATCATTAAATTTATGGTGATGGTGTTTTTAAAACTATAAATTATATTATATATATGTTATTTGCAACACTTCAATAATAGATGCTACAGCATGCTGGAGTATTAAGTACTCGTCAACTGATAAACTAATAAATACTGTAGTAAACTGAAGGTTTTATTGGCCTATGTAGCTCATCAAATACGGATAATTTACAGCAGTGTATAAGCAACAAAACATACACAATTATTTCAGATTTAATGCCAAGGATAACCAGAACTGATTTTACTATTTTAAAGTTTTCAGAGAGGAATATAAAACAATTTAATAGTATTTTTGCAATTGTGCAACTTGTTTTTGTCTAGAAAGTCACATGCTATATTGTGTGGTTAAACTCAGCTGAAGCGATAAAACCAAAACCAGAAACAATTTCCTTTTATATGGTCTCTTGAAAACTAATGACAAACAGCATCAGTCAGCTATGTTTTTGACCGCAGAAGAGTGAAAATGCACTTTTTGTGGTTCACTAGTTTTGACACAATAATATGTCCTCCTTCATAAATGCTGTCAAAAGTGCACAAGATCAACACTGAAGGATCTGGAGATTTCTTTCTTTCAGACCTGCGAGAGAAACACATTTATTGAGGTATGAAATTAAAACAAAACCCATATAATCAAATGTTTATAGGAAACTCACAGATTAGAAGCTTTGAGATCTTTATGGTCTGAACCTGATGAATGTCTGGAACAATGAGATTTAAACATCTCTCTGTGAGTGGAAACACAACAGTAGATCTGCATCACGCGCTACAGGCGAGTTTGTTTTTTGATTATTGTGTCTTGAAAATGTAAATAATCAAAATTTTCTTGAAAAAAATTATTGCCAATGTGAGTGAGATCAAATTAACGTATTATTTAAATTGTTACCAAAATGCTGTAAGTTTGCTTCACCACAAGATGGCGGCGGAATGACCGAGTAAGTAAATAATAAATTTTGTATTTTCATCACATATCAGGATCAAATTCGGAGTTGACGCTTTTAGTATTCATAGTGAGTGTTGTGAGTCTAAGATTCATATTATTTTGCTTTAGTGCTTCAGTCAATCTAATCTGAACTTCTGGCGGGAATTGACTTTGTGTAGTTTTTTACTCTATGCGACATGAGGAGTTTTCAGCTTCAGCTCTGTAAGTTAAATTGCATTATCAATATATTGTAATATTTGACTGTCATCCACATGTTGTACGTGATTGTGTACAATATATTTATTTTAGTTTACATTTATTTAAATCTAAAAATGTGACAGTGTATCATCTTAAAATGTAATGACAAAAATAAAAAGGTTTACCCAAATGAAAATAATCTGTCAATAAAATTAAAATGTTCAAAGTAAAATTAATAATATATTACATTTAATTGCATTTTGAATTAATTAAATTAATTGCAGCACGCAGCACAGTTCAAAACAACATGAATGAATGAAGAAATTACAGTAACACTTTACAATAACAGTACATGAATAATGATGTATTGATATGTAAACTAAACATTAGTTTATTATGAATTCATGATGAGTTAAGGTATGCACTAATCATGAATAAACTACAACATATGTCACATGAGTTCATGTGTGAATAACAGATACCTACTTGTTAGTACATGATTGTTTGTTAATTAATGTATTAATTACCGCATTAGCTTAAGCTTAATTTAACCATGATGAACTCATGATATGTTAATGTATAATTATGTTGTGACTTTACTTGGAGGGGCACATCATCATTAACCCATTCTTACTCATGAACTCCTTATGCATGTCCAACTAGTGAGTTTACACTGAAGAACAATAGAAAAGTGTTCTGTCAACATCAACATGAACAGGAGTTTATGAGTAGTTAAGAATGAGTTAATAGTGATGTGCCCCTCCAAGTAGTCATGACATAACTACATTAACAGCTCATGAGTTCATGTTGGTTACATTTAGCTTAAACTTAAATGTTAATTAATACATTTATGAACAACATGTACTAACAAGTAATTAAGGTAGTTGTTATTTACATGTGACTCCTGTTGTAGTTAAAGTTAATTCATGATTAGTGCATACCTTAACTCATCATTAATTCATAATAAAGTAATGTTTAGTTAACATATCATTATTCATGTACTGTTATTGTAAAGTGTTACCGAAATTACATATATGCACACAGAAGAAAATATCTAATGTCACATGGGCGATTTAGCAATAAATGCAATCCTGATAATTATTTTCCATATTTAACAATAAAAATATATTTCGATATAAGTTGGAAATGCTTCCAGATTTCAAAGAGTATCCCAACAGTGACTGAAGCCATGTTAGAGGATAAAATGTTTTTGACGGATACATTTTCGGTGGCCAAAAAGAGTTAAAAAGTCCAGAGCTTTTGTTATTGACATCATTTTTATTGACATATATTTTAGTTCAATTCAATATAATATCGTTTATTGGCCCAGCTCTACAAAATAGGTGTAGTAGCGGGTCACAGTTTTACAATGTTTCTAGTCCGCACAACTGAAAATTGCAACTGGTTATCTTCTTCTTAGCGAAGCATGAAAGAACTGTCTAAACTCTTAAATAAACTAAAGATTAAAGTAATTACAGATTTGTCCCATTTTAAACAAACACTAAATGTATGAAGTTATGAAGCATTTAAATGAAATATATTATTATAAACCACATATTTCAAAAAATTTGTCAAAATTCTAATTTATTATGGAAATTATCATCAAACATGTATGAAAACATAATAAAACTGAGTTTTGCTTATGGGATCTGTGGAAATGTTTAAACTATACTCTCATCTCTAATCTTAATTATGATGCTCATTTTGCTTCTCTTTTTTTTTTTTGATAGATGTATTGATCTGTTGTCAAGCAGGAGTGGCAGATCTACTAACTGCTCTGGGATCAAATGTAACCATAAACTGTGATCTTGATGAAAATGACGTTTATTGGATCTTACAGAAAACTCCAGATCCTCCAACAGTGATTCTGCGATCATTCTCAACACCAGCATCGTCTTTATACTTGAATAAATCATTCAGAATCAAATATTCAGTGCAGTTTAAACATCGTCTGGTTATTAATAACCTTACTGCTGATGAATTAGGACTTTATTACTGTATGAGCACACGCACACCTCCACAATTCAGCAGCAGCACCAGATTATACATCACAACCGGTGAGTCCATTCAGTTCTTCAGTGATGAAAAGCTAATGTTTACTGTTAACATTGGTACTGGTTTCACTTTTTAAACACTTTATTCACAGAACCAGGTCAACTAACTGAATTAGATGAGTGTCTCAATCGTACAGCAGAGGTGTTTATGGATCAGAATCAAACACAATGGCAGATTATTGGCTTCATATCTGCTCTGATGTGTGGCTGTCTGCTCATTGTGCTGATTGGTGAGTAATTTATATAAATATTTAATTAGGATATTAGGAGTCAGCATAGAAATATCCAAGTAGTAGTATATGTGATAATCTTTTACAAAAAACAAGATTTTGTCATTAAATATGTCATAGATTTTTTTATGCATATTAATAATTCTTATATGAATTTACAGTTTCATCTTTAGTTTTTGCTGCTGGAAAAACAGAGGGGCTGGAAAAACACATTCATGCTGCTGATATACTGCGGACTCAAGTTACATATCAGCCTCAAGATTTAAACAAATCCGGTAAATGATTTGAAATCACAATTCATTTAATTTCTGTTTATATACACCAAAGCCTGTTCATATGGCAATTATAATGACAAAAATTATGATATAATAATTCACAATTAAATAAAACCCTCTTTTCTGCTCCATATGCACCAGAAATCTTCTTATAAACAAAACGTATTGTTTATATAGTGCGTTTACATGTACGTTACAGTATTAAGTCAATTATGCTGCGTTTTTATCCTCATTTGTTAGTCGCTTTTGGATAAAAGCATCTAAATAAATATAAATGAACAAATATAAAATGTCAACATTACTAGAATTAAAGAGCTTAAAATTTGGTTAAACAATTGTAGAGCGCTTTTAATAAGCAAGGTTTTGTGGATTGGTAGAAATGTATTTATTGTTTTATTTATGTTACATATATTATTCTTGGCTTGAATATCCTTTATTTTTTTAAAGCATTGTTTTGATTAACTTAAGGTCCTTTTAGTTCAAGTGCACTGACATTTGAATTGTTTTCCTCATCTTTTCTTGTAGTGTGCTGACAAGACATGTTGAGCTTTGAACTTTTGAAAAATATTTGGTACAGTAAGTGAACAGCATTGATGTATGGCTATATAGAACTTTCTCACGATATCAATCAGTTTAAATTGTGTGTTATTGGAAGAACGTATTGTTTGATAGTGTAAAATTAATGTTGGAGTAAAAAGTCTCTCTTTTTACAACAATAAATTGATTAGAAAGTAGGTTTTATTACTTGCTCTTTATGGCTCAAACATTTCCATCATTATTAACTGCAAGAAAGACACTGTTAAGAAGATTTTGACTACTCAAACCTAACTACACTGATATGTTTTATTTTATTCATATTGAGCTGCAGTTGTTAATTGAGTCAGTAATTGCACACAGCATAAAATATGTGATGGTAATGAACATGAATTGGATAAAGTACATTTCTTGTTTGAAATTAAGCTTTTATTAAGATTTCATATTTATTTCATTAATGTCTTATGATGATTTATAAATATGAACCAACAATGAAGAATCCATTTATCACAGTATGTTTTACAGTATTATCACAGTATATTTGTTGATGTAAGGCAACACATAAAGCCATTCATATTTAGTCTGTGTTAACTTGCAGTGCAAAAGGGTAAGGGATAAAATATGTCCAGGTGGATAGTTATCGCAGAATAAAGCAATACATGCTTATCGGCTGCTGTTGAATAAGAATGAAACATTTTATTCTGTGGACATAATCACCTGGATGTATTTCATACCACTTTTTAAAAGGCTACTTGACACAAAACATAAAATATAGACACAAAACATTGTTATGAGCCATAATAGTTAATTAATTCTTTAATTAAATGCAATGCTGACAGAAATAAAAAAGGCTGAATGAAGCATATACACTAACCTGTGAATTATTAATTCACATAATGGTGCCAAACATTAAAAACAGCAGTATGACAATCATATAAATATGGATGTGCCCATATTCACTGATGGTCGAGAATATTCTAAGTACTGTGTTGTCAGTTTCAGCAGTTGTTATTTCAGAATATATCGTATTCAAGACAGCCGCATAATATCTGACTTTAAAAAGCACAACTTTGGAAAACTTTTGAACTATGATTAATAAATGTTGCACAATTATCAATCATATTTAGTTCATGTCAGTAAATACATTAACTATAAAAAAATCTTGACTTATAAAAGACAAAGGAAAAAAAAAAACACCAAGACTATGTGGTTAAACTCAACTGAAGCACTAAAGCAAAAGCAAAATAAGTTCACCTTTGTCTAGAGTAAAGGTTTGACCGTAAACCAGTGCACCCTTCATACGTTTATGTCTCGCAGTTCTCACATTCATCTAAACCTCAGATGGAAATAGCAGCACTGCAGGGTGTCTGTTAATAAACCGCAACATCAATGAAGGGTGTTTAGAGGCTTTAAGCAAAGAAATAAATGATTTTGTACATATAGAAGTAGTGATAGAATAAATTAATCTGAATCCATAAATAAAATCAAAATAAAAGTGGATTGAAAACTAAAACAGGAACTGCTAATTTGCTGCTTATTAATAGTAAGGTAGTTGGGTTTAGGTATTGGGTGGGATTAGTTATGTAGATTAATATTGTACTTTATAAATACTAATAAACTGCCAATATTTAATACTTTCTTTATTGTCCACAATTTGAAATTTATCTTTGCTTCACCACACAACCACATCAGCGTTCATATTATTCAAATATCACAGAAAAACAGGCAACACAAATGCATTCAATATCATCACATATATCACATTAAAAACTCAATTAAAACCCTATTCATACTTAAAACTCAGTATTTAAAATTCTAATGGCAGTCATTCAATAATGATTCAATAATAATGTGTGCTTTCTGTTTAATTCTCATTATTTTTTTACAGTTCATTTAGTTTTCTTTATGCTTTGCCTACAATTGCACTGGGAATTTTTTACTACTTGACAGTTTTTGTTTTTCTTTAATTGGCAACAGTCCTTACCATGCAATCATGTTAAAACTCACAACTTCTTCAACCAAATTCAACCTAATTAATCTCCAGAATATCTTGACTCATGTCAAATTGTTGTAATCTCCTAATAAGCTTTTTTATACATTCTACATTTCCAGCAAATGTCAAATTACCATCAATAAAATTCCTAAATATTTAAAATATTGTTAAACTGTCTCTATTTAATGTCCTTCAAGGACAAAAGGTTTCAATCCTCAAGTAAGAACTACTTTATTTCTGGTAAATACCATCTCCTTGGTTTTATTCAAATGTATCTCCACTGAACTCATTTTACACCAGTTTTGATGCAATTTTTTTATAACTATAGTACAGGGTATCTCCCTTTGTTCCTGTTTTAGTCAACCGGCCAACAAGTGCCATATCATCTGCATATTTCAATAATTTAAGTTATATTTTAATAACTTAAGTTCATTTGTGTAAAGAAAAAAGTTAAGGTGATAAAATGTTTTTTTTTGTGGAACTCCTGTATTTACAATAATTGTTTAATATGTATAATATACGTATAATAAGCTTGTAGTAGTGAGAATTATTACTTAAGCTTAAAATGTTACCAAAACATTAAATTTGGCATTTGTATAAGTTCATCTCTTTTATTTTTTTCTACTCAAATTCAAACATTTTATACAAGGCACCGTGTTTTAAATGCACAAGTGAAATGATTTATTTACAAGAGCGTGTCTTTAAACTTCTCTGACTCTCTCGTGTTCTGTTTCCGCATTTGTATTTGACTGCAGAAGAGTGAAGATGCACTCGCTTTGACAAGATCTGCTTCCACTGAGATGCTTCAACAAAACAGTTTCAACAAACTGAAAGAACAAATTACATGGATCAGATTTAATGACCATAAAAGACAACATATGTTCATGTTCAACTGTAATTTTACACACCAACCTGATTTCACCATAGAACTTAGAATAACATCTATGTTGATCCTGGAACAACATTCCAATCAGCCAATCAGAGTTAAGGGATACGTTTATTGTCTAGTTTAAGTTTAGGCTTACAGTTATGTTTATGCACTTCTACATACACGATTGTTAGCCAACTATTATTCCCTTCCAATTTTAGAAATAATTTACATTTATAGTTGGGTTTAGGGGTAGAGAATAGATATTGATCACATTTTTGAACAAAAATTATGTTCCAGGATCAACGTAGATGTTAACCCAGAATTGCATCGTATTTTTAAATTTTTTTTTCTTTTTTAAATTTTTCCCAAATGATGTTTAACAGAGCAAGGAATGTTTCACAGTTGGTCTGATAATATATTTTCTTCTGGAGAAAGTCTGATTTGTTATTTCGACTAGAAGAAAAGCAGTTTTAATAAAAAAAAAAAAAAAAAACATTTTAAATTCAAAATTATTAGCCCCTTTAAGCTATATATACAATTGAAGTCAGAATAATTAGCCCCCTTCGAATTATTTATTTATTTATTAAAAAAAATTTTTTTTTTTAATATTTCCCAAATTATGTTTATCAGAGCAAGGACATTTTCACAGTGTGTCTGATAATATTTTTTCTTCTGGAAAAAAATCTAATTTGTTTAATTTTGGCTAGAATAAAAGCAGTTTTAAAATTTTTTTAAACACCCTTTTAGGGACAAAATTATTAGCCCCCATAAGCTATATTTGTTCTTGATAATCTACAGGACAAACCAATGTTACACAATTACTTGCCTAATTACCCTAAGTTAATCCTTTAAATGTCACTTTAAGTTGTATAGAAGTGTCTTGAAAAATATCTAGTCAAATATAATGTACTGTCACCATGGCAAAGATAAAATAAATCTGAATAAATTATTTATTTATTTATTTATAAATTATAAATAACTATATTTATAAATAACCCCTATATTTAGAGGGTGGGGGGGTTCCAGATCTTTTTAAATCCCAAAATGCATCACAGAATAGCTGCAACTCAAGTACTACTAATATAATAAAAACAGCACTGAAGGTGTGAGATGATGTTTAAAAGGTTTCTATGTATCAAATGTAATTCTCACCTGTTGCTCTTTCACTTCATTACATGTTTTATCAGCACATCTTATGACCAAACCTTAAAACAGGATCAAAATAAAAATCACTAAGACTTATTAAACAAATTAAGTTCAAACAGGAACAGATTAGTAAATGTTTATAGATTTACAGTAAAAATAAGGTAAAAAGTTAATTTATTATCCAATATCCAATACACACCAATAGCTGCAATGACGGATAAAGCGCCAACCAGGACAGATGGGATGATGATCATATTTCTCCATGATTTCTGGTTTTGTGAAGCATCGTCTGATTCTGAAGTCAAAGACATGTCTATAAATATCCAAATATTAAATCTTAAACAAAACAATCACAACATCGTAGTATGGTAAATGTTGTTAAATGACAACACTGAACACATGAAAATAACTCACCGGTTAAGTTGATTCTGGTGCCGTTGCTGAATTTTTGTGGTTCACTAGTTTTGACACAATAATAAACTGCTAATTCATCAGTGCTGACATTTCCGATGAACAGAATGCTGTTAGTTTTCACTGAGTATTTGTGTTTTAAGATGCTGTTTTCATATTGTACTTTTTCATATGTTCTATCATAAGTGCGTAAAATCCACACTGGAGGATCTGGAAATTTCTGTCTGTACCAGTAAATTTCCTTTATATCAAGAGCACAGGTTATAATAACATCAGCTCCTAAAGTTACTGCTATATTTGTTAAACTTTTTGTGGCATCAAACCACATGAACAGACCTGTGAGAGAAATAAAACACATTTATTAAAACATCTAAACTAGACCCATTTAATCAAATATGAAGTCATAAACTCACAGATGTGGAGCTGTGTGATCCTCATCGTCTAATCTTGATGAAACACTGAGATCATGCAAATCCCTTATTGTGAACGGAAACACAAGAGTTTCAAATGAAACCTCAAGAGAGCGGTCAACATTAGAGCTCAACTCACTGCACTGAAATAACTTCCGTTCATCAGACATGTTTTTTTTAATGACCTGATTTTAAATTTTTTAGAAATGAAAAATAAATGCAAGTGTCAGTGGAGTCAAAACATTGTAACATGCAGTTAAAGTATTGCACCCTCCAGTGGCTGGAAATTAAATTTCACCAAGAGTCTGACTTGAACACACTATGTGGACAGTTCATCGCATACTCTGGATTAAACGTGTAGTTGACATTTATACTGTCTATGGCTGTACTCACACTAGGTACAGTTGCTTCGAACCGGGCCAAAGCACGATTGTCCCCCCTCCCGTCTCCCCCGACGGCCCGCACTCACACCACAAATGGGCCTGGGCACGCTTACGTCATCGCTGCTGCGCTGTTCAGTGAGAAGCGCTCTCTCACTCAGCAGCACAATGGAGATTTCTCTAGTTATATCGTTTCAGTCGTGTGACATGCAGTCAAATATTTTGCCAAACAGTCCTTAGGGATGCAGTGACACGCAGTCAGATATTTCGCCGAACAGATCCGCCACTTTTGGCAATCATAATCATTAAGCTCTCGTGCTGTAGGAATGAGGTCTGCTGAAGCCGCGCAGCTGTCGTGCTGTGAGGAGTTCTCGTCTTTAATAAACTACGGCAGTTTGTGTTCACTGAACAGTAAGAATAATTAATAAATACATATGAAACAATCCCTTAAAAGTCTCGTCTCGCTTTCAGTTTCGGGCTTTGGCGCGTTTTGCACTCACACACAAGCGTACCGTGCCAAAGCCCAAGTGAACCACGCTCAGGCACACCTTTTCCAACCGGGCTAGGGCCGGCCAAGTGAACCGTGCTTGAGCCCAATTCAGCGCACTCACATTTCTTAAACGATCCGGGAAACGGGCCTGGGCACGGTACAAATGGCATAGTGTTAGTAGGCCCTATATTGAGTGTTGTCTGAAAACGATATAAAGATTATTTTGCTGCAATTAAGCTACACACAATAAAACATAATATTTTAGAAATAAAATACATTTATTTATTTTTTTATTAAATTGTCATTGTTTAAAGAAATATTTAATACTAGAAATTTTCTAATTTGACAGTGTGAATACATTTTGTAGATCAATAGATTGATGATGACTGACAGGGAAATAAACAAACCAGGCTCATTATTGATACATGCCCCTGCATACATTTCTGGACAGCATGAAATACATCCCAGGAGGAAAGTTTTTTTTTAAGTTTTTGATTTTGCGAATCCACCAGAGGTCGCAATATAGGCTTTCTCATATCTCAAAATTTCTTGCGAGTACCATTCGCAACTGCTGTTCTCCAAAGGCCTCTGACTGACTGATTGATTGACCGATCATTAGATTAGGCTTCATTAGATTAGGTTACATTCAACTTTATTGTCATTTTACATGTACAAGTACAAGGCAATGAAATGCAGTAGCTACATGTTGGGCTGTGTGTGTACCTGTGATGTTTCTGTTCAAAGTCTACCTACTGGCCTGGCATGCAGAATACAGCATCTATAGACATTTCTGTAGCTCTGCATAATAGGAATGCTCCACCTACCCAACCTGGGGTGCGTTTCCCAAAATCGTTAGCCAACTAAGGTCGCAAGTTACTTCATTACAAACATAGTTTGTTGATTTGCTGTTTCCCAAATCCGTCGCTCCAATGAACATTCGCAAACTGCATCGCAAACTTGAGGACTCGCAACAACAGCTCTGGAGCTGTAGTTAGAAACATAGTTCCTGGCTGTGCTCTATTCCCACTTAGTACCCCATCTGCTTAGTATGTGTTGATACTGCTCCTTCAACAGACATTTAACTGGCTATAAGAAACTTTGTAAATACATGTCAACCTACACCAGGCCCGGATAGGGGACTGGGAGAATTCCCGGTGGGCCGGTCTGTTTTTTGGCCGCGAGGGCCGGTGTCCCCTAGCTCCAGAATCTGTTGCTCTCAGCAGTCACACTTTTAAAATTTTTTTATTTATTTACTTGACCACAGCCTTTTTATTCATTATTTTACCGCAGCTCTGCTCTTTTTATCTATATTTTCTCACAGCCTGCAGGTTAATGATGATATAATTCAGATGAGTAACTATTCAATGTATTGCTGTTGTGGTCAAGTGGGTAGCACACTAGATTATGAAGTCGCTGAACCGGGTTCGATCCTCATCTAAGTAATTTTTTTTTTTTTTCATATTTATTGTTAAGACATATTATACTGTTTGGGTTGTTGAACATTTGAAGTTCTAAAGCAGCTGTTTTCACAAAAAAAAAAAAAAAAAAAAAAGACGTGACGGTGTCATTAGAAACTGATTTGGAAATTACCTTATTTTAATATAGTCAGTCGTGAACTGAGGTGGGTCGGTCTGAGGCTTGAAACTCCAGGGATGAAAAGGAGTTCTTGACCTACACTAACCCTTACCCTAAACCTAACAGTCTACTTATAATCTAATGAGAATTAGTTGGCATGTAGATGCAATGTAACTTATATTCAACAAACGACCCATCAAAATAAAGTGTGAAGAAGGTCTTTTGTAGAGAAACAACTCTTAGTCAGTGTCAATCGTATTAATCAACACACAGTATTCATTATTGTACGAATTAATATGGGTTTTCAATTATTCCACTTAATATTTTTGCCAATCAAAAGTAAGACCTTTAACGTTTTTAAAAAGTCACTTCTGCTCACCGAGCCTGCGTTAATTTAATTTAAAATCAGTATTTTTTATTTAAATTAAAATAATCGTATATTTGGATGAATTTTAAAATGTAATTTATACCTGTGATATCAAAAGCTGAAGTTTAAAAATCATCACTCCAGTCACATGATCCTTCAGAAATCGTTTGAATGTACGGGTTTGCTATTCTAAAACATTAATGATAATAATGATGAATTATTATTATTATTATTATTATTATTAATATTCTTCTAATTGTTGTTATCATCAATATTTATTAACAATTGTTAGTATTATTTCTTAGGATACTTTACTGAACCAAAAGATCCAGGGCTCAACATGTATCTGTAATTAAAAGTTTGGTAACACTTTACAATAAGGTTCATTAGTTAATGCATTTACTAACATGAACCAATCATGAAGAACACATGTACAGCATTTATTAATCATAATTGAACATTTACTAATGCATTATTAACATCCAAGTCCATGCTTGATAACATTAGTTAATGCACCATGAGTTAACATGAACTAACAATGGACTACTGATTTATATAAATGTGTGAACTATATTTGAGAGAAATAGGGCTTTTTGCGTACATAGAAAAAAATCTTTGAATTGACCTCTTGAAAATGGGAGCAAAAATGAAAGTGTTGTGTTTATATTTAACTGTGTATTTGTGCTCCTATTAATGTTCCTTATTCTTGTTCGTAGATGCGTGTAATATCACTCTTGATCCAAATACTGCACATGAAATGCTCTCAGTTGCAGAGGACAACAAAACATTGGTGCGTAACTCAGAGCCAATGATTTATCCTGATCACCCAGACAGATTTACTGGCCTCCCACAGATTCTGTGTAAAGAGCGTCTGTCTGGACGCTGCTACTGGGAGGCCGAGTGGAAAGGACTGGGTGACATGGTGGTGTCTTATGGAGGAATCGGCAGGAAAGGAGAAAGTCTTGATTGTCGTTTCGGAGCCAATGACAAGTCCTGGATTCTGAGCTGCTTTATTGGAGAGAAACTGATTGCCTGGCATGATAACATGGGGGTTTATATTCCTCTCCCAACAACTCCCTATAACAGAATTGGAGTGTTTCTGGATGAGCCGGCCGGCATTTTGTCCGTCTTCAGTGTCCCTGATGAAAACACACTTAATCACTTGTACACGTTCAAAACCAAATTTACTGAACCCCTCTATGCTGGATTTGTGCTTTATACAGAGTCAGTAGCCCCTTTCACACATACAGACCTTTCCGGAAAATTGCCGGCAATTTTCTGGAAAGGTTGTATGTGTGAACAGGTCCTTTTTGAAAATACCGGTAATTTCGTTCTGGCTATTTTCTGGAAAGAGAAGTTGTAACATTACCGGCAATTTGCCGGAATGCTGCGCTGTGTGAATGCAGAAGGAAGATTCCCGTAATAAGCGCGTGCACGTCTAGAACGTGCTGACGTGAGACGTCTGCTTTAGCCAATCACAACAGTCAGACGCATTTACGTCCGCGCGGTTTGTGAGGATAAAAGCCTTTGAATATTTTTCCAGACCCATTTAGCTGCTAGAAGTTAGTCAGATCACGTTTATATGTTCTTCTTGATGCCAACTGTGTAAATAAACATTGATGAGATGCTCATGATAAGCCGTTAATTGTTTACCTTCAAGCTTTGCGTGCGCCTATGAGCGCCTGCACACGCACATATTATGAACATCTCGACATGAGAAAGTGATCCTGCGAAAGTTGTTCACAATATTGATCATCCACAGAGTTTGTAATTTAGTCAAATGTTTACAAATTCAAGCGTAGCCGTTTAAAGCTCATTTGTGGTGAATGATGTCAGAATTTACCGGTATTTTGGAATGGATGTGTGAATGCTCTTTTCCGGAAAATTTCCGTAACGTCCTCGCCTGTGTGAACAGCGCTTTTTTGAATATACCGGTAAAGTCGTTGCGGAAATTTTCCAGAAATTTACCGGTATCACTGTGTGAAAGGGGCTAGTGACTCTGTGTGATCTTAACTCTTTCACATGTACAATCACACCCATGTGATTAAAACGGTCATCATAACCTGCTAAAATTTAAATCTCATTTAAGCTGAGGCATAGAAAAAGATGTGCAGTGCTGGTCATAAATCACAATTTATCAGTGTTTTCAAACAAACAACATTTATTTTAGGTTTCAGACATTCAAATACACATGACTACTAGCAAATACACGCTGGTGACTATAGAGGTGACAATAATCATTATTTTTAAATAACTGCACGATGTGCTTTATTCACATTAGAGACACACTGTTTATATTACTCCAACATTTACTCTATTTCTCTCCCAGTTAAACAGACACTTTTATATGTTTTGGAGGAAAATGATGAATAAACGTGTTGTAAATCCAGCAGCTCTAATCTCCCCTGCAGCATAGTCTAAACCAGGAGTGTCCAAAATTGATCCTGGAGGGCCGATGTCCTGCAGATTTTAGCGCCAGCTTGTCTCAACACACCTGCAAGGATGTTTCTAGAAAGCTGTGTAAAGCTGTGGTCACACTGCACTTTTCTCCCCATAGACTTCCATTCATATGCACGCAAATGCATCAGACTGGAAACCCAAGTTGGTGCATTGAAAAGTTTAAGCTTGGTGAACTCTGACCTTTTTTAATGTCTAATCATCTTGTTTAATCTCACCCCTTTTCGCAGCGCCGTACTACAGAATTTCGCAAGCTTAAACTGTGTGACCACAGCTTTACAGCTTGATAAGCCAGGTGTGTTCGATTGGGGCTGGGGCTAAACTTGGCAGGACACCAGCTTTCCAGAACCGAGCTTGTCACCCCTGATTTAAACACTCATAATCCTTCATATATCAAATAATATGATAATATATATGATAATTGGAATATCAGATAATTCACAATATAGTTTGCATGTTTGTCAGTGCTTACAGTAAGGGGAAGCAAAACACCATATAGACGTAACCCATTGGGGCTGTGGTGTGTCACCTGATAAGCTTAAAATAACTTTCTAAATAACAGTCACAATAAAAAAAGCTCACCCAGGAGGGGCAGCGGGAGTATTTAGAATTTGTGAAAGGGCTAAACAACAGAGTGAATAATTTCTGTACACTACAAAATATAGAGTGACTCTCAAAAGTATTTGGATAGTTGAGATTAGAGATGGGATGGTACCTGTAACCTCACAGGACTTGAAATGCAACATGACTTGATTGTATCGTTTTTTATATGGTTTTGCAATAAATACTCATGACTCCACTTTTTTGCCTGCTGCTTATTTAAGTGGTTAGGTGTAGTGCAAGTGACCCAAAATTTTTCTGAAAGTATGCATTTTTATAAAATAATTTATATTTTACGAATACACTTAAACCATGTGATGGTAAAGTAAAGAAGTACGGCCTCAAACATGCATTTGAGTAAAAAGAATCTATTACTACCACCTATAGTTTTATGCTGGTAACTAGAACTTGCACCATATTGACACAATAATTACTAAAGAACTTACATTTCTAATTTTATTTTAAATATGTTTTTGCCCATTCTCAGCAATCCAGAAGTCAACAACACCACTCAAAAAGTCGCCTTTTGTTTCATCATCTTGCCACAAACTCACAGCTTTCAGCAAGCAGTTTTGCATCTGTTAATCAAGAACAAGCTGCCATTTATGTTAAAAATATAATGATTATCTAAGCCTATAGCTCTACAAGTAAAAAATGTCTTCATTTTGTCCAAAACTGTTTTGCTTTGATAAAATATAGTGAAAATAATCAACTACAAGCTAGATTTTTGCATTTGGCATTGTGACAGTCTCTCTTTTTTGTTTCTGTGTTTACACACAAATAAATACTATAGTAATTTATCATAAAAATGATGGTGATGGTGTTTTTAAAACCATGCTATAGTAAATTATATTATACTATATGTTATTTGCAACACTTCAATAATAGATGCTACAGCGTGTTGTAGTATTAAGTACTCGTCAACTGATAAACTAATAAATACTGTAGTAAACTGAAGGTTTTATTGGCCTATGTTGCTCCTCAAATACGGATAATTTACAGCAGTGTATAAGTAACAAAACATACACAATTATTTCAGATTTAATGCCAAGGTCATAACTAGAACTGATTTAATATTTTAAAGTTTTCAGAGAGGAATATAAAACAATTGAATAGTATTTTTGCAATTGTGCAACTTGTTTTTGTCTAGAAAGTCACATGCTACATTGTGTGGTTAAACTCAGCTGAAGCGAAAAAACCAAAACCAGAAACAATTTCCTTTTATATGGTCTCTTGAAAACTAATGATAAACAGCATCAGTCAGCTATGTTTTTGACCGCAGAAGAGTGAAAATGCACTTTTTGTGGTTCACTAGTTTTGACACAATAATATGTCCTCCTTCATATATGCTGTTAAAAGTGCACAAGATCAACACTGAAGGATCTGGAGATTTCTTTCTTTACCAGTAAATCTCCTTTATATCAAGATCACATTATAATAACATCAGCTCCTAATGTTACTGCTAAGTTTGTAGACTCAGTGGCTTTAAACCACAACAGACCTGCGAGAGAAACACATTTATTGAGGTATGAAATTAAAACAAAACCCATATAATCAAATGTTTATAAGAAACTCACAGATTAGAAGCTTTGAGATCTTTATGGTCTGAACCTGATGAATCTGGAACACTGAGATCATTTAAACATCTGTGAGTGGAAACACAACAGTAGATCTGCATCACTCGCTACAGGCGAGTTTGTTTTTTGATTATTGTGTCTTGAAAATGTAAATAATCAAAATTTTCTTGAAAAAAATTATTGCCAATGTGAGTGAGATCAAATTACCGTATTATTTAAATGGTTACCAAAATGCTGTAAGTTTGCTTCACCACAAGATGGCGGCGGAATGACCGAGTAAGTAAATAATAAATTTTGTATTGAGTTCATCACATATCAGGATCAAATTCGGAGTTGACGTTTTTAGTATTCATAGTGAGTGTTGTGAGTCTAAGATTCATATTATTTTGCTTTAGTGCTTCAGTCAATCTAATCTGAACTTTTGGCGGGAATTGACTTTGTGTAGCTTTTTACTCTATGCGACATGAGGAGTTTTCAGCTTCAGCTCTGTAAGTTAAATTACATTATCAATATATTGTAATATTTGACTGTAATCCACATGTTGTACGTGATTGTGTACAATATATTTATTTTAGTTTACATTTATTTAAATCTCAATATGTGACGTATCATCTTAAAATGTAATGACAAAAAATAAAAAGGTTTACCCAAATGAAAATAATCTGTCAATAAAATTAAAATGTTCAAAGTAAAATTAATTATATATTACATTTGATTGCATTTAAAAAATAATTTTGACAGTTTGACAGTGATTTTCATGAGGGCTTTTGACAGCACGCAGCACAGTTCAAAACAACATGAATGAATGAAGAAATTACAGTAACACTTTACAATAACAGTACATGAATAGTGATGTATTAATATGTAAACTAAACATTAGTTTATTATGAATTCATGATGAGTTAAGGTATGCACTAATCATGAATTAACTACAACATGTCACATGAGTTCATGTGTGAATGACAGCTACCTACGTCTTAGGATTGTTTGTTAATTAATGTATTAATTACCGCATTACTTTATGCTTAATTTAACCATGATAAACTCATGATATGTTAATGTATAATTATATTGTGACTTTACTTGGAGGGGCACATCATCATTAACCCATTCTTAACTACTCATACACTCCTTATGCACGTCCAACTAGTGAGTTTACACTGAAGAACAATAGAAAAGTGTTCTGTCAACATCAACATGAACAGGAGTTTATGAGTAGTTAAAAATGAGTTAATAGTGATGTGCCCCTCCAAGTAGTCATTACATAACTATACATTAACAGCTCATGAGTTCATGTTGGTTACATTTAGCTTAAACTTAAATACATTTATTAACAACATGTACTAACAAGTAATTAAGGTAGTTGTTATTTACATATGAACTCATGTGACTCATGTTGTAGTTAAAGTTAATTCATGATTAGTGCATACCTTAACTCATCATTAATTCATAATAAAGTAATGTTTAGTTAACATATCATTATTCATGTACTGTTATTGTAAAGTGTTGCCAAAATTACATATAGGCACACAGAAGAAAATATCTAATGTCACATAGGCGATTTGGCAATAAATGCAATCCTGATAATTATTTTCCATATTTAACAATAAAAATATATTTCGATATAAGTTGGAAACTCTTCCAGATTTCAAAGAGTATCCCAACAGTGACTGAAGCCACAAAAATTAGAGGATAAAATGTTTTTGACGGATACATTTTCTGTGGCCAAAAAGTAGAGTAAAAAAGTCCAGAGCTTTTGTTATTGACATCATTGTTATTGACATATATTTTAGTGCAATTCAATATAATATCATTTATTGGCCCAGCTCTGCAAAATAGATGAAGTAGCGGGTCACAGTTTTACAATGTTTTCAGTTCGCACCACTGAAGTTATCTTCTTCTTAGCGAAGCATGAAAGAACTGTCTAAACTATTAAATAAACTAAAGATTAAAGTAATTACAGATTTGTCCCATTTTAAACAAACACTAAATGTATGAAATTATGAAGCATTTAAATGAAATGTATTATTATAAACAATATTTTCAAAAGTTTTGTCAAAATTCTAATTTATTATGGAAATTATCATCAAACATGTATGAAAACATAATAAAACTGAGTTTTGCTTATGGGATCTGTGGAAATGTTTAAACTATTCTCTCATCTCTAATCTTAATTATGATGCTCATTTTGCTTCTCCTTTTTTGATAGATGTATTGATCTGTTGTCAAGCAGGAGTGGCAGATCTACTAACTGCTCTGGGATCAAATGTGACCATAAACTGTGATCTTGATGAAAATGACGTTTATTGGATCTTACAGAAAACTCCAGATCCTCCAACAGTGATTCTGCGATCATTCTCAACACCAGCATCGTCTTTATACTTGAATAAATCATTCAGAATCAAATATTCAGTGCAGTTTAAACATCGTCTGGTTATTAACAACCTTACTGCTGATGAATTAGGACTTTATTACTGTATGAGCACACGCACACCTCCACAATTCAGCAGCAGCACCAGATTATACATCACAACCGGTGAGTCCATTCAGTTCTTCAGTGATGAAAGCTAATGTTTACTGTTAAAATTGGTACTGATTTCACTTTTTAAACACTTTATTCACAGAACCAGGTCAACTAACTGAATTAGATGAGTGTCTCAATCATACAGCAGAGGTGTTTATGGATCAGAATCAAGCACAATGGCAGATTATTGGCTTTATATCTGCTCTGATGTGTGGCTGTCTGCTCATTGTGCTGATTGGTGAGTAATTTATATAAATATTTAATTAGGATATTAGGAGTCAGCATAGAAATATCCAAGTAGTAGTATATGTGATAATCTTTTACAAAAGGCAAGATTTTGTCATTAAATATGTCATTGATTTTTTATGCATATTAATAATTCTTATATGAATTTACAGTTTCATCTTTAGTTTTTGCTGCTGGAAAAACAGAGGGGCTGGAAAAACACATTCATGCTGCTGATATACTGCTGACTCAAGTTACATATCAGCCTCAAGATTTAAACAAATCCGGTAAATGATTTGAAATCACAATTAATTTAATTTCTGTTTATATACACCAAAGCCTGTTCATATGGCAATTATAATGATAAAAATTATGATAAAATTATTAACAATTAAAAAAAACCCTCTTTTTTGCTCCATATGCACCAGAAATCTTCTTATAAACAAAACGTATTGTTTATATAGTGCGTTTACATGTACGTTACAGTATTAAGTCAATTATGCTGCGTTTTTATCTTCATTTGTTAGTCGCTTTTGGATAAAAGCATCTAAATAAATATAAATGAACAAATATTTGGTTAAACAATTGTAGAGCACTTTTAATAAGCAAGGTTTTGTGGATTGGTAGAAATGTATTTATTGTTTTATGTTTATATATATTATTCTTGGCTTGAATATCCTTTATTTTTTTAAAGCATTGTTTTGATTAAATTAAGTGCCTTTGAGTTCAAGTGCACTGACATTTGAATTGTTTTCCTCATCTTTTCTTGTAGTGTGCTGACAGACATGTTGAGCTTTGAACTTTTAAAAAATATTTGGTACAGTAAGTGAACAGCATTGATGTATGGCTATATAGAACTTTCTCACGATATCAATCAGTTTAAATTGTGTGTTATTGGAAGAATGTATTGTTTGACAGTGTAAAATTAATGTTGGAGGAAAAAAAAGTCTCTCTTTTTACACCAATGAATTGATTAGAAAGTAGGTTTCATTACTAGCTCTTTATGGCTCAAACATTTCCATCATTATTAACTGCAAGAAAGACACAGTTAAGAATATTTTGACTACTCAAACCTAACTACACTGATATGTTTTATTTTATTCATATTGAGCTGCAGTTGTTAATTGAGTTAGTAATTGCACACAGCATAAAATATGTGATGGTAATGAACATTAATTGGATAAAGTACATTTCTTGTTTAAAAACTAAGCTTTTATTAAGATTTCATATTTATTTCATTAATGTCTTATGATGATTTACAAATATGAACCAACAATGAAGAATCCATTTATCACAGTATGTTTTACAGTATTATCACAGTATATTTGTTGATGTAAGGCAACACATAAAGCCATTCATATTTAGTCTGTGTTAACTTGCCGCGCAAAAGGGTAAGGGATAAAATATGTCCAGGTGGATAGTTATCGCAGAATAAAGCAATACAGGCTTATCGGCTGCTGTTGAATAAGAATAAAACATTTTATTCTGTGGACATAATCACCTGGATGTATTTCATACCACTTTTTAAAAAGCTACTTGACACAAAACATAAAAAATAGACAAAACATTGTTATGAGCCATAATAGTTAATTAATTCTGACAATGCTGACAGAAATAAAAAAGGCTGAATGGAGCATATACACTAACCTGTGAATTATTAATTCACATTATGGTGACAAACATTAAAAAAACAGCAGTATGATGATCATATAAATATGGATGTGCCCATATTCACTGATGCTCGAGATTATTCTAAGTACTGTGTTTATCAGTTTCAGCAGTTGTTATTTCAGAATATATAGTATTCAAGACAGCCGCATAATATCTGACTTTAAAAAGCACAACTTTGGAAAACTTTTGAACTATGATTAATAAATGTTGCACAATTATCAATCATTTTTAGTTCATGTCAGTAAATACATTAACTATAAAAAAATCTTGACTTATAAAAGACAAGGAAAAAAAAAACACCAAGACCATGTGGTTAAACTCAACTGAAGCACTAAAGCAAAAGCAAAATATGTTTGCCTTTGTCTAGAGTAAAGGTTTGACCGTAAACCAGTGCACCCTTCATACGTTTATGTCTTGCAGTTCTCACATTCATCTAAACCTCAGATGGAAATAGCAGCACTGCAGGGTGTCTGTTAATAAACCGCAACATCAATGAAGGGTGTTTAGAGGCTTTAAGCAAAGAAATAAATGATTTTGTACATATAGAAGTAGTGATAGAATAAATTAATCTGAATCCATAAATAAAATCAAAATAAAAGTGGATTGAAAACTAAAACAGGAACTGCTAATTTGCTGCTTATTAATAATAAGGTAGTTGGGTTTAGGTATTGGGTAGGATTAGTTATGTAGATTAATATTGTACTTTATAAATACTAATAAACTGCCAATATTTAATACTTTCTTTATTGTCCACAATTTGAAATTTATCTTTGCTTCACCACGCAACCACATCAGCGTTCATATTATTCAAATATCACAGAAAAACAGGCAACACAAATGCATTCAATATCATCACATATATCACATTAAAAACTCAGTTAAAACCCTATTCATACTTAAAACACAGTATTTAAAATTCTAATAGCAGTCGGCACTAATGACATAAAAAAAAAATTAAGTGAGGTTGCCTAAAATGTCTTTTTGAAGGCAAAAGATTCAATAATGATTCAGTAATGATGTGTGCTTTCTGTTTAATTCTCATTATTTTTTTTTTACAGTTCATTTAGTTGTCTTTATGCTTTGCCGACAATTGCACTGGGAATTTTTTACTACTTGACAGTTTTTGCTTTACTTTAATTGGCAACAGTCCTTACCATGCAATCATGTTAAAACTTACAACTCCTTCAACCAAATTCAACCCTATTAATCTCCAGAATATCTTGACTCATGTCAAATTGTTGTAATCTCCTAATAAGCTTTTTTTTATACATTCTACATTTCCAGCAAATGTCAAATTACCATCAATAAAATTCCTAAATATTTAAAATATTGTTAAACTGTCTCTATTTCATGTCCTTCAAGGACAAAAGGTTTCAATCCTCAAGGAAGAACTACTTTATTTCTGGTAAACACCATCTCCTTGGTTTTATTTAAATGTATCTCCACTGAACTTATTTTACACCAGTTTTGATGCAATTTTTTTTATAACTATAGTACAGGGTATCTCCCTTTGTTCCTGTTTTAGTCAACCGGCCAACAAGTGCCATATCATCTGCATATTTAAATAATTTAAGTTATATTTCAATAACTTAAGTTCATTTGGGTAAAGAAAAAAAAGTTAAGGTGATAAAATGCTTTCTTGTGGAACTCCTGTATTTACATTAATTGTTTAATATGTATAATATATGTATAATAAGCTTGTAGTAGTGAGAATTGTTACTTAAGCTTAAAATGTTACCAAAACATTACATTAAACAATTCAGCTTTGGCATTTGTATAGGTTCATCTCTGTTATTTTTTTCTACTTAAATTCAAACATTTTATACAAGGCACCGTGTTTTAAATGCACAAGTGAAATTATTTCTTTACAAGAGCGTGCTTTAAACTTCTCTGACTCTCTCGTGTTCTGTTTCTGCATCTGTATTTGACTGCAGAAGAGTGAAGATGCACTCGCTCTGACAAGATCTGCTTCCGCTGAGATGCTTCAACAAAACAGTTTCAACAAACTGAAAGAACAAATTATGTGGATCAGATTTAATGACCATAAAAGACAACATATGTTCATGTTCAACTGTAATTTTACACACCAACCTGATTTCACCATAGAACTTAGAATAACATCTATGTTGATCCTGGAACAACATTCCAATCAGCCAATCAGAGTTAAGGGATACGTTTGTTGTCTAGTTTAAGTTTAGGCTTACAGTTATGCACTTCTACATACACGATTGTTTGCCAACTATTATTCCCTTCCAATTTTGGAAATAATTTACATTTATAGTTGGGCTTAGGGGTAGAGAATAGGTATTGATCACATTTTTGAACAAAAATTATGTTCCAGGATCAACGTAGATGTTAACCCAGGATCGCATCGTATTTGGCAAAATAATGATGTGCAGTTTTATATACAGTTGGAGTCAGAATTATTAGCCCCCCTTTAATTTTTTTCTTTTTTAAATTTTTCCCAAATGATGTTTAACAGAGCAAGGAATGTTTCACAGTTGGTCTGATAATATATTTTCAGATTTTGGAGAAAGGTTGATTTGTTATTTCGACTAGAAGAAAAGCAGTTTAAATAAATAAAAATAAAAAAAAACATTTTTAAGTCAAAATTATTAGCCCCTTTAAGCTATATATACAGTTGAAGTCAGAATTATTAGCCCCCTTCAAATTTATTATTATTTTTTTTTTATATTTCCCAAATTATGTTTATCAGAGCAAGGACATTTTCACAGTGTGTCTGATAATATTTTTTCTTCTGGAAAAAAAATCTTATTTGTTTAATTTTGGCTAGAATAAAACCAGTTTTACATTTTTTTAAACACCCTTTTAGGGACAAAATTATTAGACCACATAAGCTATATTTGTTCTTGATAATCTACAGGACAAACCAATGTTATACAATTACTTGCCTAATTACCCTAAGTTAAGCCTTTAAATGTCACTTTAAGTTGTATAGAAGTGTCTTGAAAAATATCTAGTCAAATATTATGTACTGTCACCATGGCAAAGATAAAATAAATCAAAATAAATTAGTTAATAAAACTATTATGTTTAGAAATGTGTTGAAAAAATCTGATCTCTATTAAACAGAAACGTGGAAAAAAATAAACGAAGGTAATAGTTCAGGGGGGCTAATAATTCTGACCTCAACTGTAAATGATGTTTTTTCAAACAACAGATAATTTTAAATCCCGAAATGCATCACAGAATATCTGCAACTCAAGTACTTCTAATATAATAAAAACAGCACTGAAGGTGTGAGATGATGTTTGAAAGGTTTCTGTGTATCAAATGTAATTCTCACCTGTTGCTCTTTCACTTCATTACATTTTTTATCAGCACATCTTATGACCAAACCTTTAAATAGGATCAAAATAAAAATCACTAAGACTTATTAAACAAATGTAAGTTTAAACAGGAACAGATTATTAAATGTTTATAGATTTACAGTAAAAATAAGGTAAAAAGTTAATTATTATCCAATATCCAATACACACCAATAGCTGCAATGACGGCTAAAGCGCAAACCAGGACAGATGTGATGATGATCAAATTTCTCCATGATTTCTGGTTTTGTGAAGCGTCGTCTGATTCTGAAGTCAAAGTCTGTAAATATCCAAATATTAAATCTTAAACAAAACAATCACAACATCGTAGTATGGTAAATGTTGTTAAATGACAACACTGAACACATGAAAATAACTCACCGGTTAAGTCGATTCTGGTGCCGTTGCTGAATTTTTGTGGTTCACTAGTTTTGACACAATAATAAACTGCTAATTCATCAGTGCTGATATTTCTGATGAACAGAATGCTGTTAGTTTTCACTGAGTATTTGTGTTTTAAGATGCTGTTTTCATATTGTGCTTCTTTATATGTTCTATCATAAGTGCGTAAAATCCACACTGGAGGATCTGGACATTTCTGTCTGTACCAATAAATCTCCTTTATATCAAGATCACAGCTTATATTCACATCAGCTCCTAAAGTTACTGCTATATTTGTTAAACTCTTTGTGGCATCAAACCACATGAACAGGCCTGTGAGAGAAATAAAACACATTTATTAAACATCTAAACTAGACCCATTTAATCAAATATAAAGTCATAAACTCACAGACGTGGAGCTGTGTGATCCTCATCGTCTAATCTTGATGAATGTCTTGAACACTGAGATCATGCAAATCACTTATTGTGAACGGAAACACAAGAGTTTCAAATGAAACCTCAAGAGAGCGGTCAACATTAGAGCTCAACTCACTGCACTGAAATAACTTCCGTTCATCAGACATGCTTTTTTTATTTAACTGTGTATTTGTGCTCCTATTAATGTTCCTCATTCTTGTTCGTAGATGCGTTTAATATCACTCTTGATCCAAATACTGCACTTGAAATGCTCTCAGTTGCAGAGGACAACAAAACATTGGTGCGTAACTCAGAGCCGATGATTTATCCTGATCACCCAGACAGATTTACCGGCCTCCCACAGATTCTGTGTAAAGAGCGTCTGTCTGGACGCTGCTACTGGGAGGCCGAGTGGAAAGGACTGGGTGACATGGTGGTGTCCTATGGAGGAATCGGCAGGAAAGGAGAAAGTCTTGATTGTCGTTTCGGAGCCAATGACAAGTCCTGGATTCTGAGCTGCTTTATTGGAGAGAAACTGATTGCCTGGCATGATAACATGGGGGTTTATATTCCTCTCCCAACAATTCCCTATAACAGATGTGGGGTGTTTCTAGACGAGCCGGCTGGCATTTTGTCCTTCTTCAGCGTCCCTGATGAAAACACACTTAATCACTTGTACACGTTCAAAACCAAATTTACTGAACCCCTCTATGCTGGATTTGTGCTTTATACAGAGTCAGTGACTCTGTGTGATCTTAACTCTTTCACATGTACAATCACACCCATGTGATTAAAACGTACATCATAACCTGCTAAAATTTAAATCTCATTTAAGCTGAGGCATAGAAAAAGATGTGCGGTGCTGGTCATAAATCACAATTTATCAGTGTTTTCAGGTTTTTAGGTTTCAGACATTCAAATACACATGACTACTAGCAAATACATGCTGGTGACTAAAGAGGTGACAATAATCATTATTTTTAAATATAACTGCACAATGTGCTTTATTCACATTAGAGACACACTGTTTATATTACTCCAACATTTACTCTATTTCTCTCCCAGTTAAACAGCCACTTTTATTTGTTTCGGAGGAAAATGATGAATAAACGTGTTGTAAATCCAGCAGCTCTAATCTCCCCTGCAGCATAGTCTAAACCAGGAGTGTCCAAAATTGATCCTGGAGGGCCGATGTCCTGCAGATTTTAGCGCCAACTTGCCTCAACACACCTGCAAGGATGTTTCTAGAAAGCTGTGTAAAGCTGTGGTCACACTGCACTTTTCTCCCCATAGACTTCCATTCATATGCACGCAAATGCATCAGAGCGGAAACGCAAGTTTTGCAGTTCTCTGCATTGAAAAGTTTAAGCTTCGTGAGCTCTGACCTTTTTTAATATCTAATCATCTTGTTTAATCTCACTCCTTTTCGCAGCGCCGTACTACAGAATTTCGCAAGCTTAAACGGTGTGACCACAGCTTTACAGCTTGATAAACTAGCCCAGGTGTATTCGATGGGGCTGGGGCTAAACTTGGCAGGACACCAGCTTTCCAGAACCGAGTTTGGGCACCCCTGATTTAAACACTCATAATCCTTCATATATCAAATAATATGATAATATATATGGTAATTGAAATATCAGATAATTCACAATATAGTTCGCATGTTTGTCAGTGCTTACAGTAAGGGGAAGCAAAACACCATATAGACGTAACCCATTGGGGCTGTGGTGTGTCACCTGATAAGCTTAAATAACTTTCTAAATAACAGTCACAATAAAAAAAGCTCACCCAGGAGGGGCAGCGGGAGTATTTAGAACTTGTGAAAGGGCTAAACAACAGAGTGAATAATTTCTGTACACTACAAAATATAGAGTGACTCTCAAAAGTATTTGGACAGTTGAGATTAGAGATGGGATGGTATCTGTAACCTTGCAGGACTTGAAATGCAACACGACTTGATTGTATCGTTTTTTATATGGTTTTGCAATAAATACTTATGACTTTTTTTCGTGCTGCTTATTTAAGTGGTTAGGTGTAGTGCAAGTGATCCAAAATATTTCTGAAAGTATGCATTTTAATAAAATGATTTATATTTTACAAATGCACTTAAACCATGTGATGGTAAAGTAAAGAAGTACGGCCTCAAACATGCAATTGAGTAAAAAGAATCTATTACTGCTACCTATAGTTTTATGCTGGTAACTAGAACTTGTGCCATATTGACACATTAATACTAAAGAACTTACATTTCTAATTTTATTGTAAATATGTTTTTGCCCATTCTCAGCAATCCAGAAGTCAAGCAATATCACTCTGCAATATTGACCAACAACACCACTCAAAAAGTGGCCCTTTGTTTCATCATCTTGCCACAAACTCACAGCTTTCAGTGAGTAGTTTTGCATCTGTTAATCAAGAACAAGCTGCCATTTATGTTAAAAATATAATGATTATCTAAGCCTATAGCTTTACAAGTAAAAAATGTCTTCATTTTGTCCAAAACTGTTTTGCTTTGATAAAATATAGTGAAAATAATCAACTACAAGCTAGATTTTTGCATTTGGCATTGTGACAGTCTCTCTTTTTTGTTTCTGTGTTTACACACAAATAAATACTATAGTAATTTATCATAAAAATGATGGTGATGGTGTTTTTAAAACCATGCTATAGTAAATTATATTATACTATATGTTATTTGCAACACTTCAATAATAGATGCTACAGCATGCTGTAGTATTATGTACTCGTCAACTGATAAACTAATAAATACTGTAGTAAACTGAAGGTTTTATTGGCCTATGTAGCTCCTCAAATACGGATAATTTACAGCAGTGTATAAGCAACAAAACATACACAATTATTTCAGATTTAATGCCAAGGTCATAACCAGAACTGATTTAATATTTTAAAGTTTTCAGAGAGGAATATAAAACAATTTAATAGTATTTTTGCAATTGTGCAACTTGTTTTTGTCTAGAAAGTCACATGCTATATTGTGTGGTTAAACTCAGCTGAAGCGAAAAAACAAAAACCAGAAACAATTTCCTTTTATATGGTCTCTTGAAAACTAATGATAAACAGCATCAGTCAGCTATGTTTTTGACCGCAGAAGAGTGAAAATGCACTTTTTGTGGTTCACTAGTTTTGACACAATAATATGTCCTCCTCCATATATGCTGTCAAAAGTGCACAAGATCAACACTGGAGGATCTGGAGATTTCTTTCTTCACCAGTAAATCTCCTTTATATCAAGATCACATTATAATAACATCAGCTCCTAATGTTACTGCTAAGTTTGTAGACTCAGTGGCTTTAAACCACAACAGACCTGCGAGAGAAACACATTTATTGAGGTATGAAATTAAAACAAAACCCATATAATCAAATGTTTATAAGAAACTCACAGATTAGAAGCTTTGAGATCTTTATGGTCTGAACCTGATGAATGTCTTGAACACTGAGATCATTTAAACATCTGTGAGTGGAAACACAAGAGTAGATCTGAAATCACTCGCTACAGGCGAGTTTGTTTTTTGATTATTGTGTCTTGAAAATGGAAATAATCAAAATTTTCTTGAAAAAAATTATTGCCAATGTGAGTGAGATCAAAATAACGTATTATTTAAATTGCTACCAAAATGCTGTAAGTTTGCTTCACCACAAGATGGCGGCGCAATGACCGAGTAAGTAAATAATCGATTTTGTATTGAGTTCATCACATATCAGGATCAAATTCGGAGTTGACGCTTTTAGTATTCATAGTGAGTGTTGTGAGTCTAAGATTCATATTATTTTGCTTTAGTGCTTCAGTCAATCTAATCTGAACTTCTGGCGGGAATTGACTTTGTGTAGCTTTTTACTCTATGCGACATGAGGAGTTTTCAGCTTCAGCTCTATAAGTTAAATTACATTATCAATATATTGTAATATTTGACTGTAATCCACATGTTGTACGTGATTGTGTACAATATATTTATTTTAGTTTACATTTATTTAAATCTAAAAATGTGACAGCTGTATCATCTTAAAATGTAATGACAAAAAATAAGATGGTTTACCCAAATGAAAATAATCTGCCAATAAAATTAAAATGTTCAAAGTAAAATTAATAATATATTACATTAAATTGCATTTTGAAAAATATTTTGACAGTTTGACAGTGAATTCATTTTCATGAGGGCTTTTGACAGCACGCAGCACAGTTCAAAACAACATGAATGAATGAAGAAATTACAGTAACACTTTACAATAACAGTACATGAATAGTGATGTATTGATATGTAACCTAAACATTAGTTTATTATGAATTCATCATGAGTTAAGGTATGCACTAATCATGAATAAACTACAACATATGTCACATGAGTTCATGTGTGAATAACAGCTACCTACTTGTTAGTACATGATTGTTTGTTAATTAATGTATTAATTACCGCATTAGTTTAAGCTTAATTTAACCATGATGAACTCATGATATGTTAATGTATAATTATGTTGTGACTTTACTTGGAGGGGCACATCATCATTAACCCATTCTTACTCATGAACTCCTTATGCATGTCCAACTAGTGAGTTTACACTGAAGAACAATAGA